CGGCGGGAGGCCCGTGTGGAAACTCTGACACACGGGCAAAAACGTGTCCCGTGTGGCTGCCCCACAACCTGTGCCCCTAACAGCATCAGTCACGGGGCAAGCTTGTTAGCTACAGCACCCTGGCCCTGCCAGCTGCCATCTGAAGGGGAAAACTCACCCGTCTCGCTTGAAAAGCAGTGTGGGAAATGTTGCAGGAAGCAAAAGAGAGACCTGTGAGCGTTCATTTCAGAGCTTTCCCTGAGTGTTTTGAACCAGGAGCACTGGGAGAGCTGCATCCCTTCCCACCCTGTGCTGCAGAACCACGTCGCTGAAGGACGTGGTCGCTCAGCATCCCGGCAAGGGGGGGGGCCTAAAGTTGTCACCTCCCCATCAGTGACCCTTCCCAGGGACACTTTTTGAGGTGTGAAGGTGACTTGCCTGGTGCAAAACCTGTGGCCGTGCTCCAGGGGGTCATCACCTCCCCAGCAGGGCAGAGCTGATATGGGAAAACAGGCCAGAGAAGTGGATTTGGGGGTGGAATTTTTTAAGCTGAGGCGAAAAGCAACTGAGTATTTTGGGGGTGTGGAAGAGCACCAGTGCTGCCCGGGGGAGGTTTTAACCTCAGCTTCAGGAAAACTTGAGTGCTCGAGGCTGTGATTGCTCAGACCTCCTGGCTCTGAAGACACTGCTGGCACGGGGGTGTTTGCAGCAGGGGGACTGCAAGTGCTCCCTCCCCGTCCTGAGACACCTGGGGGGTCCTGGCCCTGTCTCCGAGTTGGGAAAAATGGCTTTAAAGCCCTTGACTTTTGGGACTTGCTGTGTTTCTGGCCGGTGGAAATCTTGGAATTGTTTTCTGGGATTTGATTTTCCCCCCCCCCCCTCCTTATTCTGTTTTGCTCTGAGCTCATCACCATTTCCCTGAGACCCGGAGCAGGGGGATCTGTGTGTCCCACCAGAGCTGAGCATCCCTGGAGACCCGTGTCCGTGTGTAACCCCCTGGTGTGCATCTCCCCGTGGGGCAGGGGGAGAGGGTTGGGGTTTTTTTGGGGCAGGAAGGGGTTAAAAAAAGCTGGCAGCTGGGACAGGGAGCTGAGTGCCTCTGAGGGCTGGCTGGGCTCCCAGAGGTTTTGGGGGGCTCAGGTGGGTTCCCAGGGGTCCCGGGGGGCTGTGCTGGGTGCAGGAGGCTGGCGCTGTGCAGAGGAGGGTTTGGCAGGGCTGGCGGGGCGGCCACTCCTCCTGCTGCTCTGCTCTGGTTTGAAGGGTCGTGTTGGGGAGGAGAGAGCAATGTGAGTCCTCCGGGAGCCTGGCTGGGGCAAAACTCCTGCCTCTTCCCTCCTTTCCTTCCTCTGGCCTCTCTCTCCGCGTGGGTCTCGGAAGCGGCAGAGCTTGTTTTCTCTTCCCCATGGCCCCACCTCGCCTGGGGTGTCTGCTCCTCCTGGCTTGCTGCTTCTCCTCCTCCGACACGCAGCTCCTGGACTGGGTTTGGGGCAGCGTGGAGACCACGGGAAGCCCAGCAGCAGTACCGGGAGAGGGAACCGTGGCACCGGAGCCGCTCGTCTCCGCAGCAGCTCCCGGCCCGTCCCCGGGGACGTGGGGGGGGCAAGTGTCGGACCACCCCCGAGGGGCAGGGGCCAGGTCCTGGCTCGGCAGCACCTGTGGCTGAGGGGATGGCAGCTGAAGACCCTGAGCAGTGGGACAGCAGTGCCACGGGGCCGGGGGAGAGCGCGGCGTGGCCGAGCATCGCTCCTCCCCGCGGCACCTCGCCTGCCCCTGGCCAGGAGGGCACCAGCAGCCCTGCTGAGGAACAGCAGCTCCTGGGGACAGGGACCACCGAGGACCAGCAGCTCCTAGAGGTGGTGAGCACAGAGGACCCACAGCTCTCTGGGACAGGGACCACCGAGGACCAGCAGCTCCCAGGGACAGGGACCACCAAAACCCCACAGCTCCCAGGAACAGGTACCACCATGGACCAGCAGCTCCCAGGAACAGGTACCACCGAGGACCAGCAGCTCCCAGGAACAGGTACCACTGAGGACCAGCAGCTCCTAGAGATGGTGACCACTGAGGACCAGCAGCTCCTAAAGACAAGGACCTCTGAGGACCCACAGCTCCTGGGGACCGGGACCGCCAAAAACCCACAGCTCCTGGGGACAGGGACCACCGAGGACCAGCAGCTCCCAGGAACAGGTACCACTGAGGACCAGCAGCTCCTAGAGATGGTGACCACTGAGGACCAGCAGCTCCTAAAGACAAGGACCTCTGAGGACCCACAGCTCTCTGGGACAGTGACCACTGAAGACCCACAGCTCCCAGGGACAGAGACCCCCGCAGCAACCTGGGTGTCCTTGCAGAGACCAGCAGGTCCCCGGCCAGGTAGTGCCCCTTTTCCTTTCTCAGCAGGTGACAGTACCCACGAGCGGGTGGTGCCGCCCCGACGCTACCCGGGAGCACTGCCCACCCCACCGAACCTGAGGCAAGGCACTGGCCACCAGGGGCTGGCCCTGGCCAGCACCAAGGGCAGCCAGAGCCCTCCTGTGCCCGACGGGAGGGCGGCTACTGGTGTGGATCCTTCTCTGGCCGACACCTCCAGTCCTCTCCAGTTTGATTTACTAACCGCCGCGGCGGGGCTTGAGTCCTCCTTTCCCGGACTGATGCCACCAGCTGGGCACTGCCTGCCCATCCCCACCCACCTGCCCTTCTGCAGGGTGCTGGGCACCAACCGTTTCCGATCCCCCAATTACCTCGGGCAGGGCAGCGAGGCAGAAATTCGGGTGGCTTTGCATGAGTGGGAGGGGCTGCTTGAGTCACGGTGCCATCGCTACGTGGAGTGGTTCCTCTGCTTGCTCCTGCTCCCCGGCTGTAGCACCTCGGTCCCCGTAACCCCCCCGCCGTGCCAGGGCTTCTGCGAGGCCGTCAGAGACCTGTGCTGGATGCACTTGGCCAGTGGGCACCTGCCTCTGCCTTGTGATGCTCTCCCCAAGGAGGACGAAGGGTATTCTTGTGTCTTTGTTAATGCTTCTGCAGGTAACGTGGCTGTGTCTGTGTGTGTCTCCCCTCCCCAAGCTCCCCCGGCTTGGTAGGTGCCGACGGGTGCTTCTGCCTGGTCCCCATGGGATACTGCTGAGCCCAAAACCGCTTTCCATCCAGCCGTGGCTTCTTCAAGCAGGCACCACCAGTGGGTTTTGGCTCCTTCCTGAGCCCCAGCATCCCCTCCTTGGGCTGTTTCACCCCCAGGGAAGCGCAGCAGCCGGGTTGAAATGCAGCGTCCCAGTGGCAGGGCAAGAGATGCTCCCTGAGCATCACAGGGTGCTGGCCTTCAGGTTGGCGGGTGCCACAGCACACAGCCCAGAATTTTGGGCTGTGTATCCTGGGAGTGGGGTTCTTGCAAAGCTGGCACAGGGGTGGGTGAAGGGCCAGGACACCAAGGCCACCCAAGCACAGCAGCACCTGGGGCCGTGGCAGTGGGGGGGACCTCAAGGTGACCCACGGCCGTGCTTGCACACTCCCCTGTCCCAGAGCCACCCTTTGCTTTGGGGTTAATGATTTACTAGAGGGGTAATGTTTGATCCCCTCTGCTTGGCAGGCAGGAGGGGGTTGCTTTGCCTCTGGCTCCGTTTGTGAGGTGGTTGTGACACTTCTGTGTGCCTGCTGGGGACCGAGACGTGGTGCTTAAGTTGGGGAGAGGGCAGGGGGGGGCAGCTGGAGACGTGCACGTCAGGGCAGCAGCGCAAGAACTCAGTTTGGGATGAAAGCAGGAGCAGGACCTTGCTGTTCCCCCCCCTGCCCAGCCCCCTTGAATGAGGCTGTGTTCCCATGCTGGCCCCCCGTGCCCTCAGGGGCTGCCCGAGACGTCAGGGGGGCAGCAGGCAAGGGGGGCAGCAGGCAGGGCTGGCTGGCAGGGTCCCCTCAGCTTCAAAGCAGCTCTGTTCCCTGTCTGGAGCCCTGGGGGGGGGGATGACACAGGGAGAGGGGGTTGCTGGTGAGGGAGGAGTGTGCTCCGGGATGGGCAGTCAGGAAGGGCTGGGGGATGTGAGGACCTGGGTGCACCCCCATGGAGTGACTTGGGGTTGCTGCTGTGCATGGGGAGGGTCCCCTGCATCCCAAGTGTGATGCCACAGGGCCAGGCTGGCAGCCAGGAAGGTCATGGCAGAGCAGGGAGGTGACTTGGGAGCGTCCCTGGGGCCTTTCCAATGGCAGCAGGAGCACATGGCTGGGGCACAGCAGCCAGAGGCATCCCC